TAGTTTTTGGTTCGGTGGGGGTCCCTATGTTTCTACTGATTGATAATAGTTCTTAATCTCCTACAGACACAGTCACTACCTAGATGAAAAATAGAAAGTACAGGCATCTATTCACTGGTCTTATGCACCATCGTTTCAATAGTCAAACGGATTATTTTGCCAAACACCGGAGACTGCCATTAATTCCATTACTGCTTCAACATTTGACGGACTGGAGAAGGGAGTGTACATATTTTTATTGAAATATGGAAATGCTAAACATTTTGAAGCGAAAGAAACTCTGTAGAAGTTATTAAAAGGAAGGATTTTTCGTTCGAATATGAAGTGTTTAGAGTCTACGGAAGTTATACATTATCGTGGGAATAATCTTGGAACAGCCACTGAGTTTATGGTGAAGAATGTAGGAAAGTCTATAGTTTCAATTCTAGATATCAATTATTTAAGTGTCCACAACCAACATGTTGACCAGATACAATTCCAGGAGCCAGGTGAGTCCGTTGCAATTTCGATTATTAATTTCAATACTGATAAATGCATTCTAGAAATAGTGTTATTTAAGGAAGGTAGAATTAGATGAACATAAATGGACGTATTATATTTGGGATTCGTAATCAGCGGGCAACCAAGTACGAAAGAGTTATTCGTTCGCATAAATACCACAATTGTCACAGCTTACATAGGGATCCAAATTTTTTTTAGTCGATTGTACCTCTTCTGCTTAGGTTCATCGCTTGTCTGTCCAACTGTGTATTGGATGTAGACTCTGTATGATCTAGAATGTAGTCATTAGTAACAGAATCAATAACCAAAATTGGAACAGACTCATTTGGTCCCTGGAATTGTGTCTGATCAACATGTCGGTTGTGTATATTTAAATCATTGATATCTAGAATTCGGACCATAGATTCGCAAGATTATGGTCTAGGTTCGTTGTTAGAACTATTTCAATTATAGACCTAATCCTAAAATTGTAGTACTGCCATGGTATGAAAACCTAATTTATAAGATCTTACATGAGAGTCACATCGTTGTCTACTCTTACTCGTTGTATCGTAAGAGTCAGAAATATTTTTGGCGTTTCTAAGGAACACACCTAGACTGGAGGTAGAACAATATATTTAACATGAACAGAAGAGATAAATTACACAAGAATGATCATGCCTACAAGGCTAAACCACGCCATCTGATTGAATGATGAAATATTCCCACCCTCTCCCTTGTTGGCCCTCTCTGAGTTAAATGTTGGATATTTTACTTCCTAGTTATCTCACGTTTAGCTTTGAGGATTGTGCGGTTATGACCAATACCACTACAGATTTTACAACCCTGTCCTCCCACTCGAAGTAACGTCGGATCTTCATGTCCTAAAGATGCACGTGATGTGTCTTTATTTAAAACATATTTATCACATTGATCAAAAGACCTACTAGGAGTGACCTGATAGTGAGGCCTCCTTTCTTTGGTACCTTGATGGGCTGTCTTTTTTTCAATCTGTCGGCACTTGTTTCTACTCCCAAATCTTCCTGAGCAGGATGTGGAGCATGTTTGCAATTACCTCCGTATCTGACTTCATTGCTTCAGCTGATATGTTGTCAGTGTTATGACCTTGACGTCTGGTTTTTCTATCACGCGATTTATCTATCGATCCGGATACGACTTATACGAATCTTCACACTAGGCCAACCAATGACGTTCAACCGGTGTGGGCAGTTTAGCGTCCTTATTGGTCCTATGTCCTACGAGCCCTTCCACTTGAGTCCAGAACAAGATACCAGCTTCCGAATCAGAGCAGATCGTTTATTTCAGGCATACTTGGTTTATATATCAATCACACAGACCGCAACGTACCATAAAATAGGAAATAATATTTGTACACAAATAAGCCCAAAAAGTGGCTGTGAATGCGGGAGGCAGTAGTTAATAAACTGAACATAACTTAAGAACCGTAAATCGTACAATAATAAATTATAGATCAAAATAAAGCTTATTATAAAAGGAATATAAATATCCATAGTGTAATTGTTGAGTAGTTATACAATAAGAATATTTATAGAATATTAGTCCATGAATAGTCCTTGGAATTTACCTGTAGTTTAATCTCCACTCGGATATAACAGTCAGGTCCCTCTGATTTATCATTCTCAATGTGTCTGATGGTCATCCTCATTCCTTCGATCGTTGATGGAGTGACGTCGATAGGAAGGTTTATGTGTGCTGCATCTAGGTCTTGGGGATCCGGTGAAGCTGGTCTACTCAAGAGTTCCTTAAATCGTTCCGCTCTTCTCTGGTTTTTGAATATCGGTGATTGTCTTGCCTTCTTTGTACTTGATTGATAATTCTGGTTTACCATATTTCCGTTTAAGTTTATTCGTTGGTTTAATATTTTCTTCTCTTGAAACTTTATCCTCTGTCCTTTCTAGGTTTTCTACGTACTACTGCATATCAGGCCCCTATGCTCCTCTTCACTTGCTTGTTTGCTTCTGTGTATTAAGCTTGTGTATTGACTTACTCTGTTCTTGTTCGGCTGTTGTTAATTGCTCTTTTCTCGTTCTTGCTTTCGTGAATATTGCCTACGTTTTCGATATAGATCCGTTGCTTGTGATGATGTTTTTGCAGACCAGCACCTCTTATTACGTTGAGGTTAGTGGTTCCTTGATCCATTCCCATTTTTCTTCCATGGTAGTTTCTTCTTCTGCGAGTAAACCTTGTAAGGCTTGGGATCTGTTGTTGAGAGTAACCTTGATTTCGTTGAGCTTGTCAGTATTTCGGAGGAATTCTGTATTGAGCCTTTGTAATGTTGTTTGTTCAGTTGTCCAATGCTTCTTTAGCTTCAGCATCATCATGGCAGCCATGAGGTGATAATCTGAAGCTATGTTAGCCCCTCTCTTGATTCCCACCTCTTTTATTGGCCTTGCGAATTTTTTTAGTGATACGGAGATGACCGACCTGGTTCTCTGCAGTGTGATCCGGTGAGACCCATGTAGCTTTGTATATGCGTTTATGGGAGAGGATATTGTGCCGCCTGTAATCAATCAGTTAAATGAACATAAAGTAACAAATCTCTCTTCATTCTTATTCCTTTTTCTTAATCCATGTCGTCCCATTATGTCTTCATACTCAGTGTTGTCCATTTTGACTTTAGATTTTCGGTCTCACATAAAAATTGTTGAGTTTTTTTCGTGAACTCGTCGCTATGTCTGATTGCAGCCTCAAGTAGAAATGATCTTTTTCGTTGTCATTTCTATCATTGGTGGGTGCATGACATCAGATAAAATTATGATTTCCTTCCTATTTGCTTTGAAAGATGCTTTCATGATCTTGGAACCATGAGATGCTCATTCTAAAAGTACGTTTTTTGCTTCTTTGAACAGTATTAGAGCAACTCCCTGAGTGTGTGGGACATTTTTCCCTTCGTGACCAGAGTACAGAAACATCTTTCCCGAATCTAACGTTTTTGGTCTGCTTGGGTTAACTGTGTTTCAATAATCTTGAGCACCGTCAAGTTGTATCTCCTCATTTTCGCACCTATTCGACTGGTTTTATCGCTCTCCCACATTGTCCGGACAGTCCATGTACCATACTAATTGTTGCTCTGCTAATTCGAAGAGTTATAGGCCTCGTAACTTCCGAAGAATCTCGACTTTTACCATAAGGCGCAATAATTATTTTTAGTGAATATCCTGGAGCCCCTAGGGCAGAGTTTAAATGGATTAAATTGTTTATTCTAGTTAGGGATTTTTGCGAGGTTATTTCTTATGGGCTGAGGTTGCTGGTAACATATCCAGTTTTCAACATTTACCTGAGCTTAGGACTGAAAGTAACCATAGTAAAGCTACAGGGAGAGTTATAATTCAGATAGTCGTTCATATATTTGCTCAAAATTGACTTTTGAATCTCCATCTAGTGTCCACTTGTCGATTATCTAAATAAACATTCGGACGCTTAAATCTATAAGTAGTGAAATGACATTGAATTCAAAATTTACTTTTAATTTTCAATAATGTTATAGTTTTAGAACAACTTTGCCTCATTTTTTTCATCTTTTATTGTTTAGTTCACTTCGTTTCTGTTTCAAATAATCTTCATAATCAGAAATGATAACGTGTTATGGTGAATAACCGATGTGTTTTCTGTACCATCAAAAATTTTATGTTATGTTTAAATCTGCCATAATAATACAATACAATTTCACGCTGAGTCCTTCAAAATTGAATTCTTGATTTGTTTTGTTGAAGTTCTAGACTTCCTGGGATTAATTCTACTTCGATAATCAAATATGCGTAGTGGCTAGCAGTGGAATCCAGAACGCGCGTTTCGTCCTATTTGGGACTCGTCAGCTGAATGTTCCTGCATCCCGGAGTTGATGTTCACTCCAGGACTCCAACTTAATACAATTCACTTGTGAATTAAGGCAATGTCGAGGCAGTACGCACAGTATGCCTATATGCCAATAACAGACTGATCGATTGCAGTATTAAACCTCAATGGGAAGATTCAAGCAAACAATACTAAGTGAATTTAGTTCGACTTCTTTTATATTATTGAAAATTCACACCATAAAAGTATGGTTACAAGGACTTAGTTTGACGAACAGAGTAAATAAAGCTTTTTTATCTTAAATGGTTGTTATTTTTGCACTTGATATCAAGTGCAATCTCCAATATCTTTATTTTGGTACAAATTTGTCTGTTTTGGGTAAATTTTGAGGAAGCTGTAATAGAAAGCTTTGGGGAAATTTCTAGATTCTTGTGCCATTTTCCCGAAATTTCCCCAAATTTTTGGGAAAACTACTAAATATCTTACAACCTTTTTAGGGAAACACCAAAATTTACCTAAAATCCCTCTAAGTTTCACCAAAATAGAGAGATTGTTTATTTTTTATGTGGTACAGAGTTGTTTTTATTTGTTTAATTGTGAAGATCAGAATAAATAAAGATCTGAGATGATAGTAGACTAAAGCTTTTTACTACTGTAATATGCTTCAAAAAAGGAACAATCAAATCAAATGTAAATATATTAATTAACCAATAGGATGTTAGCGTATTATTAACCAATCACAATCATAGAGATGTTACAAATCAAAATAATTTCATTGGTAGATCTGATAGAAGACAAAATTCATTGGTTGACATATTTCTTAATTCATAAATTCAATATAAAACCACGATTTTGATTGAGATGACGTATCTGGGCTTCAGTTTTGTTGCTTAAGGTTAGTTGTTGTTGTTTTCAATAGGTTTCCTTTTTGTGAGTGGTGATTTTGTTTGTATTGTAAGTTACATAGGTTGCAATGTGCATAGCTGCATAGTAATTAACCTAAATGCATCATTATCAATTTTATTGACTCTTGAATTTCCAATTGGGTTTAAGCTAACAGTAATTTTCGATGAGACTATAATTTATGGACGACCTGTGAACGACTCTGAAGTGACTTTGAGAGTATCCACTTAATAACTAGGATCCAACGAGGGTTACAAACCTGTTTGAGTAATTAGAATTATGATTTACAATTGATGATTAGGGTTAGAAATTAGATTTAGGATTTTATTTTTTTTATCACGAACTGACATCAGATCTAATGCCAAAACGGCATTTAACTAAATGGTTAAATGAATTTTGCACCAAAATCCAAGACTTTTTATCCTAAATCTGATTGATTTGTTCACAAATTATAGTTTCACTTAATTTTCAAACCTCACCATGATTTCAGTAGTATATCAAATTATTTAATTGAGCTAATAAATTGTTTTGTAATTTAAGAATACTATAGTGATTGTTCTTTTATCAAAAGTGGCTTGTGTGCAACAACAATCAACTATGTACACAAATATTTTATTGTCAGAAAGGGGTTTTGTGGAGATTGTAGTGATTCAATAGTTAGATTCATGAATCGATTAAAGCTAGACCACCATGGAAAAGCTGAAAGCACTGGATAACTATTTCGTATTAGTATGGGACTCCTAGCTCGTGGAAGCTTAATCTCTAGACCATTGAGCAGGTGTTCAACGGTATTAATGTCTAACTTCAACCAATCCATGAAATTGCACCACCGTCCACCATTTTCTTCAGTGAGACCGAAGGTTCTGGGTTCTAATCCCATGGGTGCGATCGTGGATACACATTACTGAGGAGTTCCATACTAGGATGAAATGGCCGTCTAGTGTATCCAGGTTCTCCATGTTGGTCTTACTTTAATCGACTCATTAATTCAATTATGAAATTACAAATATTTTAGTTCATTACAGTATAATTGTAAAATATTTCATCATGATAGCATAGGATCTCAAATAAGAATTTAGTTATATGATATCCTCAAAAACAATCATGTTAATGCAAGTGATATACAGTGTAAGAAGGATATGGAAAACATATAAATCATAAGATATATTATGCCGAATACAAAGGTTCTTTAGGGTTATATAAAAAAAAGTAAAACTAGATAGTAACTAGTAGTGAAGTGTAGGACCTAAACTTCATGCTTCTTAGGATATATTAATTGGATAAACCTAAATCTCAGCGTTGATGCTCAAATCAGGTACTTTTTATTACAAATCAATGCGTTAACTACTTAACTATGGAGTTCATGCAACCACTAACTTATTCAACAGAAAACTATGAACTCTTTTAAATAAAATAGAGATCAACATTTATGAAAATAATCGAATTCCCATTCCATTCTTACAAAGAATCGTCTATTTATAGTGTTCATTTATTTAAATACGTAAACATTAGTACAAGGAGGCACCAAAATATGTATGCGCCATATAAATCATTTGATTTGTGTGCAGGCTGGAATACTACCCGGATGCTCAAACTGAAGTAGGTGGTCTTCTTAGAGTGCCACACCCCAAAAACTTGACCTAAATGTCTAATACACAAGGCAGTAGAACAACGTCAGGAGATGCAGTCCCATAGTAGCCTGTGACTAATAATAGGTTCATACACCATTTATTTCCTTAGGATCCTGGAGCCCATGTGCACTATTGGTTTGAAATAAGTGCTTTTCAACTCCCATAAGTAGATACTTCATACCCAACAACCCGGTTAAAGCACTGGACATTCGCTTTTCATCCTCTCAATTTCGTAAACAACATCCGTGATGCGAGAAGGCAGTGAGTAGGACTTCTCTGGCAGTGGTTGTATGTACGTGGCCACTTGAGAGCACTCTCAGCTGTAGCAGGGCATTTAGGGGCGATAGACTGATGAGTTATTTTGAGGTTAATTATTGTCCTCTCTCATTTAGAACTTATAAATTAGTTATATCCCAGGTCTACTATCATGTTCTTATCTAAAAGTATGAACAAAACATTAAACAGAACTTGTTCAAAATGTAAATTAAATTATAATTTCCAATTGAAGATGACATTTATTTCGAAAGTATATACCAAATATACAAAGCGAGAGAGTGTTAAATTCACTACTTGATTAACTCAGAATACGGTTTAGGACCATGAGACTTGAACGTTGATCTTCGCTGTCGCAAATCAGAACACAGAAGAAAAACTGGAGAAGTGTTTATTTGGTCACAATCAAAGTGTACAGAAAATCACGGGTATTTATAGATATTAGCATTTGTTAAATCAACATTATATTTCGGCTAATCCGCTAAGAGACATATTATGCTACTGAACAATAATAGCATCATGCCACGTTGATAATCTAGAAAGCTCCATCATGTTCTGATTGGTTGGAAGTTTTCAGTTTCTTTAGGGCCTCTGGAGGATCCATTGTAGTTCTCGGAAGTCGACTCCGCAGAGAGCGATAGAGAGAGAGAGAGAGAGTCTTCCACTTGTAAGATTCACTTAATTTCGTACGAGTAACATAAACTTGAGTTTTGAACAGAATATTAGTCGTAGACGTAATGTTTGTTTACTGAAAGATATTATGTACCCTGGGATATTCTTAATTTACTAGTCTTTCACTGAAATAATGAAGTTAAAATATAATTTTTGTTGAATTAAAAATTGAAATGAAATAAATAGTTGTAATTGAATATCAAATCGAGTGTTATAAACATATAGGCTCCCTTCCAAATGCCCTAGCTGGAGAAAATGTGCTATGTCTGTCAGTCAGTTAGTCAGCTACAACATAGGACCAGGGATATATATGTATATATGGTAACGGTCCAAGTTTCCATACCTCATTAGCACACCAAGATGAACACCACATTTATAGACTTCGTTAACTTAATGGTGGTAATATACAAAAGAAAGATTGCATATAAGGAAGATAGAGAGTGTATACACCTACTCAATTGTGGACAATTCTGAGCCATATATCACCCACAGTCTCCAACCATTGGTTACGATAGTCACCTACTTAAGACAGAAGCTATAAAGATTCAAGCTGACAACATTAGATTTTGTATTCACAAAAAGGTTCTTAATGTCTCTATCGTGTCTTCTTTATCAGAAATCAAACCTAACAGACAATAATGATCAATTATATCTATTCTTTGTTAGTCCCTTTTCTCTTCTTTAACATTTATATGCATAAATTGATTGTGTTGTTTCTTTAAACTTTGACCTACTTATTATGTAAGTAGATTCATTCACACATACTATCATACTATTCATTCACAATGAACACATTTGTTATTCACCATCAACGTGTACTTGCCAATTATGATGATGAATCACGTATTCTATTTCATTGTTATCATTGACTTCCGAATTACTTTGATTAATTTGTTATTTTGCAAATATGCATATATTTTCACTTAGTATGATTTGCTTGTATCTTATCAATTGACCAGTCTCTTACTTACTTAATTACGCCTGTTACTCCCAATGGAGCATAGGCCGCTGACCAGCATTCTCCAACCCACTCTGTCCTGGGCCTTCTTTTCTAGTTCCATCCAATTCTTGTTCATTTTTCTCATGTCTATCTCCATCTCCCGGCGTAATGTGTTCTTTGGTCTTCCTCTTTTCCTGTGGCCTTGAGGATTCCATGTGAGGTCTTGTCTTGTGACGCAGTTGGGTGCTTTCGTCAATGTGTGTCCTATCCACTTCCAGTGCTTCTTCCTGATTTCTTCCTTCGCTGGGATCTGGTTTGTTCTCTCCCACAGTACGTTGTTGCTAATAGTGTCTCTTATTGGCATATATACAACCTATGCGGATTGTCTTTATATTGTCGTAAGTCAAAAGCATTATATACAAAGATGGATAGTGGCTAGCAGTGGAATCCATGAATCACGTTTCGTTCTATTTGGGACTCGTCAGTTGGATATACCATCATCTCAGTTCAATTTAATCTTTCATCTAGTCTCTACAAACTAAACAACTATGTTCTTTATGTCAGCACTAATAATCAGAATTTAATTCACTTAGAAATGAAATAGAATATGGTAATCTACCAAAAATCCATCTTATAAGAATCCGTTAAGTAATTATTCCCTCAAAGCGGGATCGTGGATGTGCACTACTGAGGAGTTCAACAATAGGACGAAACGGTTGTCTAGTGCTTTCAGGTTTTCAATGATGGTCTTACATCAATCGGTTCATGATCTCAATTAAATACTCTATGACTATTGTTTAATTATTGTAAATTATATACATATTACTGTAAAATCATAATGAAAAACTAAGAAAGAAATTTATTCGGTTTATCCATTTTTTTTCCCCTAAAAACAGTCCATTTTATAACCATCGTTTCGTCAAATTATCATGGTTGTAAAAGTAATCTCAACTATGAATCACTTAAAGGCCACGTATCATGTATGCCTAAACACCGATTACCACGACATACAATGATGACTAGTGTTAGGAATAGTTGGAAGAAGGTTAGGGATGGTCAAACCAAAACGTGGCATCCATCTACAAAGTCACTAACTTCTAATCCTAACCATGTTGGGAGATGCAGACTACTTGGTTAGGATCTGCGTGACTATCGTAACCAATGGTTAGAGACTCTTGGTGACATGGCTCAGAATCCATCACAATGGAGTAGGTGTATACACTCTCCGTCTTCCCTTAAACGATGAGATTAAAATCGCTTCATATCTTTCTATGAACTAATTCTTTCTTTCTGTACTATATCCTTATATGCGATCTTTCTTCTATATATTACCACCATCGAAATGACGACTTCTATGAATCCAGTGTTCATCTTGTTGTGCCAATGAGGTATGACAACTTGGACCTATGTATATATACGTCTGATCCCACGTTGTAGCTGACTGACTGACTTATTCAATGTTTAATCTATGATAGTACTAGAAGAAATCTTCAAGTTTTACTTATTTATAAATAATCTTAATTTTAAAGTTTAAGTATAGGAGTAAACTGACCAATTTTAAGATTATTTCAAGGTCAAGGTTAATAATTAAACAAAAAATGATCGTAACGTTTGTATAGGATAAAGATTGTACTCTGAGAAGTTTTCTGTTTTTGCAATTGAGAACAATAAAATTTGTCTAAGACTTATAAAGAACATTATGAATAAAATCAATTAAGTGTTCTACTTATTCTTACATGAATCTTAGATGAATAGTACTACTAGTTATATACTGGATCGTACCTCCCCAATGCTTTGGTACGGCCGAGAGTAGGAAGAGTCAACTCTCCCTCTGGAAATGTTCTCACATGGCCACACGTGTAAAGCCTCTGCCAGGGAAGTCCTACTTATTGCCTTCTCGCACCACGGGTGTTGTTTACGAAATTGAAAGGATGAAAAGCGAATGTCCGACACTTTAACCAGGCTGGTGGATACGGATAGTCCACCTAGGGTAGTTGGAAAACCCTCATTCCAAACCAATGATTCACATGGACTCCAGTATTCTGAGGAAACTAATGGTGTATGAACCTATTATTAGTCACAGGCTACTATGGGACTGCATCTCCTGACGTTGTTTAACTGCATAGCGGTTTAGACATTTAGGTCAAGTTTTTGGGGTGTGGCACCCTAAGAAGACCACCTGCTTCAGTTTGAGCACCCAGGTAGTATTCCAGCCTGCACACATATCAAATGATTTATATGGCGCATACATATTTTGGTGCCTCCTTGTACTAATGTTTACGTGTTTAAATAAATAAATAAATACTTTGTAAAACCTAAGAACCATATAATGAATACTTTATTCGCAAAATGTCAATCAATTGTAATATGATGGAGAAGATTTGTAACTCAAGTGAATGATTTTGGTGGAGTTTTATTCCTATCCCTTACCATCCAACTCTAAGAACAAAACTCTACTAAACTCAATCAATCATTTCAGATTTCATTATTACTTCGTTTCCACAGTAATTATTCTTTGTTTTCATTCGTTTTTCTTCAATCTTCTTAACCATCTGACTTCATGCATTTCACTTTCGATTAATGATACACATACTACTTATATCTATTGACATCAGTAGTATACACTACACATAACTATTAAGATATTAATTGTGCGAAAATACATGTTTAAACAAGTATTTCAATCCATTTACAATAGTTACATATGTACATATCTTGTTTATGCCAGAAGAAAAAAAAACCATTATGGTATAGAAACATTGAATTACCATTTAATTGTGCAAATAACATCAGAATATGTGAAATTCGATAATAATTAAAATAAATATTTACTATTCATTTGCCTACGCTCTTATTTCAAATATGTACATTGATGTGTTTATTATGTAATCAATAAACAACACCGACCCTTCCTTTCTTCAAATAGCCAATTAGAATCAAATGAATGGTATCAGATCTTGATTTGATCATGATTTGATTCAAGTTAGATAATCATCGAAATCAAGAAACGTAAGATATTCGTATCATCCTAGCATAGACTCTTGAATGGTGCATATCTATGACCTCACTAGTAGGTATTTTAAACCAAGATATTCGGTATGATGCGCGGATACTTAACAAGGACAGCATTCTTACAACTGAAGAACATATGAGATTCAAAATAACTTTCAACCAATATTAAAGTCAGAATTTTCAATACAAACGTCAAGACAGTTCTGATGTACAGAGCTGAAACTTCGAGAACTACTACAACCATCATCAGCAAGGTACAAGTATTTCCAAATAGTTGTCTACACATGATACTCGACATTCACTGACTGGATACCATCAGCGACTCCACTCGGTGGGAGAGAACAAACCGGTTTCCAGCTGAAGAGGAAAGCAGGAAAAAACGTTGGAAGTGGATAGGACATACAATACAGAAATCACCGAACTGAATAACGAGGTAAGCCCTATCTTGGAATCTTGAAAGGAAGCGGAAAAGAGGAACGTCAAAGAACACATTACATTGGAAAATAGAAGCCGATATGAAAAGGGTGAATGACAATTGCAAAGGATTGGGCAAGACAGGTTTGGATGGAGAGTTCTGGTGGGTGGCTTATGCTCCTCCACGAGAAGTAGCTACATAATATTCAAATTTCAAAATGCCCATTTGTTCAACAATATTTAATATATTGGTATTAATATGATTTTCTTTACATAACAACAGCTTCAAGAGGACTATTGAAAATTAGAAAACATTAGAAATCGTTTCATCTTTGTCGAGAAATTCTGAAGAATTAGATTGAGATCATGAAACGATTGATGTTAGACCACCATTGAAAACCTGGAAGCACTGGACGGCCGTTTCTTCCTATTGTAGGACTCCTCAGCAGTGCGCATCGACATAAAAAAGTCAGTTGAATGATATCAGATCCTGTTATATTCTCTTGATATCTTAACTAGAACTAAAGTTAAAATATACAGCGATAGTGAATGAGAACATAAGTGGAGACAATTGAATGTATTTAAATAGAAAATTAGAGAACATCTTAGTAAAATTTGCCCCCAAATGCCATGGTATGAAAAAGAGTGGAGAGAGTCAGTTCTCCCTCTCGAAATGCTCTCACATGGCCGCGCGTATATAGTCTCTGCCAGAGAAGTCCAACTCAGTGCCTTCTCGCACCACGGGTGGTCTTTATGAAATCGAGAGAACGAAAAGTGAATGTCCGACACTTTAACCAGGTTGGTGGATATGGAGACTTCACCTAGGGGAGTTGGAAAACCCTCAATCCAAACCAATGATACACATGGGCTCCAATATCCTGAAGGAACAAATGGCGTATGAACCAATCGTTGGTCATCAGCTACCATGGGACTGCATCTGCTTATGATGTTCCACCGCCTTGTGGATCAGACCTTCAGGTCAAAGGCACCGGATGTGGCCTCCTAAGAAAACCGCCTGCTTCAGTTTGAACACCCGGATAATATCATAGCCCACACACAAATCAAGTGACTTGTGTGGCGTATAAACAGTAATAGTAAGACGTCCTTGGTAATGACACTTGTAATCTCAACTACTTGTTGTTTTAAATAGTTAACTATTACATTATCATCAATGCTTATTTCATTTTTGTTTTTTTCTTATTCTCTTATTTAGCAAGTTTATTCCTATACACTCAATTCTAATAATGGGAAGAAGTAAATTACAAATATATGGTCCAAATGGTGAAATTTATCAACCTACATTAAAACTTCAATCAAATACTAATCCTGAAAAAGATGCTGAAGAACTTTATCAAGCAATGAAAGGATGGGGTAAATTATTGTTATAAGTTGTGACCTGTATGCTCTATTAATGTATAACGTAATGATACCGCCAATTAGAGAGTAGTGAGCTATCCATCGGACCAATGACGCGTAAAACACGTACAAACAGTCTAGAGTCCTTATTGATCCTGCTTCCCGCCTAGCCCAGCCAGTTAAATCCAGAACACCAATTTCAGCCTCTGCAATATCGAATCATTTATTTTCAAACATACAGGGTTTATATACCAACCAGGCAGACCACAACGTACCATAAAATATGAAACAACATTTCTACAAGATTTAACCAAAAGTGGCTATGTATGTGGGATGTAATAATTTACAGACAGGGCATAATTCAAGAATGGTAAATCGTATAGTAACAATTCATAGATCAAAATAAAGTTTATAATAAGAGGGACACGAATATGTATAGTTTAGTTATATAACAATTATATGATAAAAATATACATATAGTATTAGTCAATAAATGGATCCCCAAAGTTACCAGTCATTATTCTCGTCGGGGTATAACAATTATACAGAGTTTGTCTGTTTGTTTTAATTATCATCAAACCTTATTGTTCATGTAAGTGGTGGTATAATTTAGGACGTGTATTTTATTCTATTTGGAAACCCTTAATTGAATGTACCTACATCCCATATTTGATATTCATTTCGGGACTCGAACACTAGTACCGTTCACTTCAGATGTCAATCTATTCTATACTAGTTTATGTCACGATGGTAACATTCAGGTAATCCTTATAGGATGTATTACAGCAAATTAAGATCGATCAAATTTCAGTCAAAAATACCAACCATAGAAAAATTCAAATTATTTCGATGGTTAAGATCACGAGTCAGTTGAAGCTAGACCATCATGGAAAACCTGGAAGCACTGAACGACCGTTTCGTCCTATTGTGGGACCATTGAAATTACTATAATATCCACAAAAACCCCTTCTGATATGAATCAATATATGCTCATTAGTGACTGGCTTCAAGAAGTATATCCTGGAGTTCTAGTGAAAAGTAATGACCAGCGGAGTTCAACCAGGTCTGTTTTCAGACAGTAACTCACTGAAGACAATAGTGGATGTGACGCTCAGTTTCGTGGATTAGTTGAAGTTAGACGTTAACACTGTCGGATGCCGGCTCAGTGGTCTAGTGGTTAAGTGCTCGCGCGCGAAACCAGTAGGTTCTGGGTTCGGATCTCGCAGGGGGGAGATGGTGGACGCACACTGCTGTGGCGTTCCACAATAGGACGAAACGGCCTTCCAGTGCTTTCAGGTTTTCCATAGTGATCTAACTTCAATTGATTCATGAATTCAACTATTAGATTATTTGACATCTATTTTATCTTAGACTGAAACTGATCTATAGTCCAAACCCATACTCATATCGTCAAGCTACTAATTCAAGCTTAAACGACTTTTACCTACCATCTTCTCTTAACTTGTGTCATATAACACAACTTTAACAGATTCACCTTCACTACAACCTTCTGTTTATTAGTGCTATGAATTCTTTGAAATTTTCACTAAGAAATTATGATTAATAATGTTGAAAATGTTTAACTAGAAAGAGTGATTCATCAGTTCAATAGTTGGATTCATGAGTCAATTGAATCTAGATCACCATAGAAAATCTGCAAGCACTAGACGACTGTTTCGTTTTTGTATGGAATGATAGGTCCTGGATTCGAATCTCGCGAGGCGAGATCGTGGATGCGCACTACTGAGGAGTTTCATACTAAGATAAAATGGTCGTCCAGTGCTTCTAGGTGTTCCTTGGTGGATTAGGTTCCACTGACTCATAAATTCAACTATTAATCTATTATAAAATGAATCACAACAAAGTTATATAACGATATCGTTTTCTTAGTTTATGAAACTAATGAATCTAATCGATATCAATGAATGTAGAACGTTAGTTTTTAATAAAGGTTTTTTTTCAATGATTTGAACTTTTAGTGCTTTTTTTGTTGAATGAAGGTCATTCAATGTTCAATGATGACTAGTACTATGTGGGTTGATTGTGCAAACTAGAAGTTCACACATACACACACACACACTCCGTATATATAAAGACCAGTGAATTTTGATTTAATAGTGTAAGCTAACGTGATGTTGTTTAAGTATTTGGCACCATCGTGTTTATACAATCAACCTCACATAAGTATTAGTCATTAGTAACACAATGAGTTATCTTGATTTTAGTAACTATGTATATGTATGTTACAGTGCAAATGAACAGAATATTGTTTTCATGAATCATTGTGGTTTAATTAAACCATTGTTTACTGGAATGTACTTGAATGATGTTTTTTTAAATGACAAATTAGTAATATTGTAGTGAATGAGAACAAACAAGGGGGGACAACCAAATGTATTTGAACATACAATTGTAGAATGTCTTAGTACAATTTAAGAACTATACAATACAATACTTCATTTGCTAAATGTCAATCAATCGTCTTACACTTCATTGTTCGTTCGTGTTCATTCTCTCTTCTCATTCTCTTTTCTTCGATCTCCTTAACCATCTACCTCCAAGCATTTCGCTTTCGATTGATGATACACATACTACTTATATCTGTCGACATCAGTAGCACACGCCACAATATGAGTACCTATATTAATAATTTCATCTAATGTAATTGTTGATGTTAAGGACTGAATTTCGATCATAAAATTTATTCCATTGGATAAGTTCGAGAACGGGTAGCTTGATAGTAAAGATACTAGGTTCGAGTCCCGTAGTGAGTATTGACTATTGGGATGCAGGTATATCCAGCTGACAGGTACAAAAGAGGTCGAAATGAGTGTACTCAATTTCACTGCTAGCCAATATTCATGTTATATTTATGAAATATGTTTGGGATAATTGTAGTGAACAAAGTTACAGAATCCCTTAGTAAAATCTGAGAATCATACAGTAAGTACTTCATTAGCAAAATGTCAACCAATTGTCTCCCACTTCATTATTTTTTCGTTTCTACACCAATCGTTCTTTTCTTAATCATCTGCCTCCAAGCATTTCACTTTCGATTAGCGATATATATACTACTTATATCTATCGACATTAGTAGCACACACCACAATATTTTTTGTTTATCTAGTTGAACGTTTGCATGAGTATTGAATCAAAATTGTGTGTGATGTTCAATATTTATTTCTTATCTGGTTAAACATCTAAGCCAACAAATATTTTAAGAAAACTATACGAGTAGTGTACCATGATTTGTAACACAATTTGTCGCCTTATAAGGAGAGATAGATAGTGGCTGACAATAGAATCCATGACTCGCGTTTTGTCCCACTCGAGACTCTTCAGCTAAATGTATCTGAATCCCAGAGTTGATTTTCACTCGAGGACTCGAGCCCAGTACCGTTCGCTTTAATAATAAGAGACTAATCCATTACAGTCTTAAACATCAATGCGAAGATTCAAACAACCAATATAAAAATGAATTCATTTGTCATTTTGTGTAGAATATGATATGATAACTTGTGTACATCTTGCACAAACGATTCCATTTCCAGATGAAACATCGAGCAAGGTTGATGGTAATGATATACAGAATATTGTATGGATTTATGAGACACTTCACCACTTAATCTTCAATGATGCTCAGACGAATAAGCTTAGTATATTCAAATTTATATGTAAGTGTAATGAACAAAGACTTAGATGAGGTATGTGATACTATACAATATATTTTTGTAAATGATGAAAACAATACATTCAATACATCATTTGCATATCTTCCTTGAATTGTCCCTTACAAACTTGATGTTCTTCCATTACTGTTGTTACTCAGACTGCTTCTGTTTTTCTGTGTCTTCTCTTTATATTTCTCTTCTTTTGTTAAGAATCGTACCTCCAATTCTTAATACATACTACTTATATGTGCCTGTACAAGTAGCACACACCATATACACACAAAATGTGTGTACATTAAAAAGATAGAAAGCTTGATATTGATATAGTTTATAAAAATATGTATCCAAATCATTTACATCTTAGATATTCAAAAAAAAAGTATCCATAATTTGATTACGTGTCCCACTTTTGGTCTTCTCTTGAGTTTTGAGTTTCAAAATTGTTCTAAAATTTGTTGCTCCTTCTAATATCACGAAAAGGCAGTGAGTAGGATTTCCCTGTCAGTGGTTCTATGTACGTGGACATGTGAGAGCATGTCGGGAGGGAGAGATGACTTTCCCCACTGTCAGCATACTAGAACGAAATGCCCATCCATCTCATACAGGTTTTCAATGATGATCTACCATAGACTGATTCATGAATTCAACCATTAAAAAAGTAACAACGATGAAGATCATAAGTTTATCAATGCGAATATAAATTCCAAGTTTACTAAAACATAAAAAAAATAGATCAATAGTAGTGAATTTCTCTCATTCTCTTTTGCCTTGAACCTCCCCCTCTTTCAACAAAACAAGTTGGTGAAGCCTACTAGCCCCTTCTGAAGAGAAACAAGCCATATCGAAGCACGACACAACTATTTGGGCTAGAATAGCTGTTTTGTAATCGGTTGGAGTTTGTCCAATAGTGAGCAACCCCCTACGTTTGTCGTTTTTCAGTCCAAGACTAATTGTGCTGTGATTCTTTGTGGATTTCATAATCAATTTGTGTATATCGGTCGAGTGAGTGATTAGCCCGATCTCTACCACTCCGGGTTACCACTCACGTTAGTTCATGGGATTGAGTCTCAATGTCGTGAACATGATTCGAAACTAAAAAAATCATTTGATTAGAAAAAAATATAAGAACTTTCGGACATTGAAATATGATTACATAATAATCACCTGGCAACCTAACAAACAGCAACAGTATTTTAACACTGTACTATGTTGTGTTAACACTTTGTAACCTTAATTGATTAGTCAATATATAGGAAGCAATGTAATAGTGTAGATCTAAGAATAAGTCATTTATGCACTGAAAAATAGACACACTAACATGTTGTATAATGCAGAATATTCATA